TTCTGAGAGGGGAACACCCTCCTCTTGGCCCAGCCAGGTTTCGGTTATACATGCCAGGCCTGCCTCCTCGTCCAATATTAAATCTCGGACGAGGGGAGCTTTGTTCACAACCGACCTGGCATTTAGCAGCAACAACCTGAGACCAGGACCCTGTACTCCTCTGACACCAGTTCCTTGAGTTGAGCCTGAGGGGCCGGAACAAGCAATCACTGTAATGTAGCGAGTCCTTCCCCGGTACTGGCTAGCCCTACAGCTCCTGCCATATCTGCCCCTCCCAGTCATGACCAGGATGCTCTGACTTCCCCCTATCCCCGTAGACCCCTCCCCCTCTCCCACGGCCCCCCTTCTTCCCCGCAGGTCATATACCAAATCAACTACCAAATAAAGAAAACCTAAGAAAACACACACAAAATGTCAATACTGTGCATCCTTGCTTTATAGTACATTTTCAGCTTCTTCAGACCCAAAATGCTGGTTATCCTTCAGTAGGTCAATGTCAGGATGTGATTATTTTTCTCTCTTAAACTTCAAGTATCCCTGATGGAGTAATAGGATGCAGGGTTACAATGGGGCATTTTTTTCCATGTCCACATGTGTATGCATGCATACTATTGAACTAGCATTATTGGTACTCTTGTATACAATAGATGCTCAATAAATTTCACACAGCTCAGGCATATAGAGCTTCTAGTGAAATGCAGGCAGAGAAGTGTCTTGTGTTGCTCTGGCAATTAAGACAGGACTTTATCCACAGATGGCTTTGGAAAAGACTTGTGCAAGTGCCAACACATGGCTTATCGCACCGGTGCTGATGCTTGTGACACTGGTTTTGCCGCTCATGGCAGGTTGCTGTGTGGCATGTGCTGGTGCCATTGCTCATGCCCAAAGTGGTACAATGCATCACACAGCCTCTTGCTGCAAGCAGTGGCACCAATGTGATGAGCCATGCGGTGTCTAGCTGCAAGCAGCTGCAGAAGAAGTTGGGCAGAATCGCGACAGATATTGGGAAATGGGAGGTATGGCTGCAGTGGTCCTAAGGTAAGTGGGTAAGACATTCCCCCCCCCCCAAAATAAGACTTGGTGCTTCTTTTGGAGCCCAAAAGAAAATAAGACCGTCTTATTTTCATGGAAATATAGTAGTATATTAGAAAAATCTCATTGTTATAAGGCTCTAATTTTTGTTACCTCATATGGTCTAATTTTTTCCTGGAATTCATTTGATGCTATGGTTTTCTTCAAAAGCTCTATGTAGCGTGGACATTGAAAAATTGGATAGCGTAATTTCTGAAATAAAAAAATGAGACTGTAATATGCTATTAATAATTTACAGTATTAAACCTTGCTTCTTTACCAATGCTTTATTGAAAATTTCATAATCACCCTGATTCAAATATAAAACATCATAAATTGAGGATTTGTCTCTTGATCGTGGTGTCATGATACTGCAAACTTCTCCATTGAGGTGGAGATAGCATCCAGGGATGGGTTGACTTCATCTGCTCACTGATAGGACTGAGTCTGTTGAAGCTGTTAAGCCATGCCCCTGTTGCTAGGCATACCAGCTTTTGACTCAGTCCCCCAGTAAGGATGGCTATTGATGAGCTCCTGTCTTCTAAAATTCAAATTGTGATTTATTTAGCTCAATTATTGTTGGAATTGTGAGTATTCCTTGACCCATTACTTTGTCAGCTGGCTCTGTGGCCCAGGGTCACAGCTCCAGCTGCTGGGTTTCTTAAAGTCTGAGAAAGCCCAGACTGGTGGCTTGGACCCCTAAGACGCTATTCCGGGGTTTTGGAAGTCAAGGAGAATAGATCACGCTTTGTAGAGCTTCATGCTTTACCTCAGGCGCTTGGCAGTTTCCATTGCACAATAAAAGGAAGATTTTACCATCGGTTTCAAGGAATCCAATGCCATAAACCAGATGTCCTTTCTTTTGGGGTCAAGATTACAGAATGTCCTTTCATGTGACAGACTAACATCAAGTTTCAGGCACCAGGGGATTTACGCTCCTTGACAGTGACAACAGACAGACCTTAACCAGAGGTGTAGACAATCTAAGCAGCTCTTTCGCAGTGGAGGGGGGCATTTTTACCACCGGCACTAAGCCCTTAGCAGACCTGCCCCTCATTGGTGGTTGTTTGGCATCATTTGCCAACTGGTGGGAAGGACCAACTCTGATGGTTCAGTTAGGAACACAATAAGGTCAGGGCTACCCCTGGAATTCATCTCCACATCCCCAAGGTTTTTCAGAAATTGCCTGTTATCCCGCAACACTGCACAACAGGTCTTCATGCAAGCTGCCATCCAGCACCTACTGAAAATTCATGACATACAGAGGCTGCCAGAGGACCAATTACGCCAGGGATTTTATTCCATTTTATTTGTAATCCCCAAGACCTCAAGGGGGTGGTGTGGAGAGCGATTCTCAACCTAAAATGCCTTAACTGCCATTTATGTAATGGACAGTTCAAAATGCATTCCTTATAGTCTATCCTAGGGGGCATATCGGAAGGCGATTTCCTCAATCTATTGACTTAACTGAGGCATACCTTCATATCCCCATTCTGCCTCTCCATCGGCAATATCTCAGATTCTGCAATGGCAGATGCCATTTTCAGTATAGATCTTTACCATTCCTCGGTGCCTAGGGTGTTTACTAAGATTCTGGCAGCATTGGCAGCACATCTTTGGGCTATACATATGCAGGTCCAATGTTATCTAGATGATATATTAATGCAATCAGCAGCAGCAGCCCAGGCCAGGGAGGATCTGAAGATCACACTACAGGCATTGAAATCCCATGGGTTCTCTATTAACATGGCCAAGAGCCACCTTGCCCCCACCAATAGGCTGCTCCATTTGGGAACACATATTGATACAGTGTGTCAGGCCTGCATTTATATTCCTTTTAGAATTTTGGCCTGCCACACTTTCTCTTATTTCATTATGCTGTTTCTTTAAGTATAGTTAATGGGAGGGGGGAATAGAAGGAGTAGGATTGTGGAATGTATTGTTTTTCATTTTTTATTAGAAGCCAAAGTCATCCTTTGTGTCTGCACTTTCACACCTGACCGGAAGCAGTTGGGCATAGACACCAGCATGGAAGAAGATTGGACCATGTGATGGACTGTGGTTGTGGGGACAAGATCAAGAACTTTTAACTGGGTGGGATGTAACTTCCAGTGTTGGAATCCCACAGTACGATGCCAGCATGCCTGTCTTATTAAATTGGAACTTTAAGCATAGTTTTGCCTTCAACTCTGATTTAATTCTGCATGGTATTTGGAATGCTGACATAATTCCAACTCTCCCTTCAAAAATAATCACCAGCATCCCTCCCTCACGGGAGGGGGGGGGCTGGTGAGGGTGGCTGTTTTCCCAGCGCTGAGTCATACCGGTCAGTGTAAAACATCAATGAACAATTAGGAGAAAGCCTTTTGAGATAAGAAGCTGAGATGAGATGTCTCTCTACAAATCTTCAAAGGTGAAGCAGTTTTGCTTTTAAAATTTATTGCCGCTGGCAAGAAGCCCAGCCTGTGGGGGATGGAAGGCAAAGGAATGAAGGAACTTAATCTCAACGCATCTAGGAGATGGCCAGAAGATCTGATGGAGATCCCGGACCATTTCGGACAACTAAACGTGAGTGCATGCTCCCCCTCCTTCCCCCCAGCCAAGGCTTGGAAAAAACCCTGGAGTGGAGATTTTGACTCCTTCCAAACAGGGATATTTGAGAGTCATGGAGTACATTTTCGCCTTTGGTAGGGTAGCCCCAGGTTTGAAGTCTATTGCACAATCTGTGGGCTGGTGATGGGGAAGATAGTTGACATCTTCCTCACTGAACACCTCCGCAAAGTCCCGGTAATCTTTTGGTACTTGTTGCATCCCTGGAGTTTTTGTGTCTGCTGCAGGTGCTGCAGGTTCTGGACGGTCTGGACTGTTGGGTTCAATTGTTCCTGGGTGGCTTTTTGGCTCCACTGGTGGTAACGGCCAAAAACCAATAATTAACTTCCCAACGCCATCCTCCCACTTTATTGTAGGCGCCCACTTGTCCAGCCATGCAAGCTCCAGGATAATTAATTCCTGCATTCTTGGAGCCACAATGAATCTGAGGAAATCATAGTGACGCCATATCAATAACTTTACCAATTCCGTAATTTTTGTGGCTGAGGTCCCTCCAATTAGTGTTACATCCACTTGCTCAAAATGAATGGGATGGTTTAGGGGTCTTGTGCATATGCCAAGCTGCACAATCAACATGCTGATTAAGCATCGGGTACAGCTGGTGTCCACAATTGCCCCAACTTCCCCCTCCACTCCCGTTTCGGGCACTTGGAGGTTGTGTTTTACAGTAAATGGACAGATGGGTGCACTCACCATTGGGTTGTCTTCAGTATTTTCCTCCTCCAAGGCCTCCCCACTGCTTGGACTTTTCATCACCTTAGGTTGGGGATCTGCCTCCTGAGGTTGTTGGCCCAGATGACTCTTTTGTGGTGGCTTCTGAGGCCTCTTTACCGCGCTGGTGGTTTGTGCACACGTTTGTGATATTGGGGCTGGAGCGAAGCACTTTGATGCTTTGTGGCCAGGTTGACAGCAATGGTGGCATTTTATTGCCAACTCCCCAAGGGATGGAACCCAGATGCACCTCTAAACTTAGGAATTGCCTCATCACTTTGTTCCACTATCCATCCTGCAACTTTCCCCTCATTCATCCCTTCTTCCATTGTCAAGAACTCTTCTCTGTAAGAAGGTGGGGTAAGAACCTGTTGGGACATTGTAGGTGAGACTGCCCAGTTATCTGCCATGGTGCCATCTGCTGAGGGAGGGCAGGTGCCCACTGGCATCTCTCCCACTCATGACCTGGGAAGAAAACCCATTCCGGGGTTGCTTGATTCACAGGTTACAGCCCCAACATTGATGGCAGACATGGGGAAGATGTTGGCCAAACCCCTTCCTGCTGGCTGGTTTGAATTCCCCATTTTGATAGGGAATCTGTCTTTAGCTCAGTTGCAGGTTAATGGGTCATTTCATTTATTACTATATGGAAGGAGTCAAAATCTCCACTCCAAGGAGAGAGAAAGAAGGAGTGGCGAGAGGAGAAGGAGAGAGGAAGGGGAAATAGAGAAGGATGATAGAGAGAAGAAAGGAGGTAGGGAGGAGGAGAGAGGGAGAAGAGACAAGAAAGCAATGGATAGGGTATAAATATGGTGTATGGAAAGCAGAAGAGCAAATGATAGTCTTTGGGCATTGATGGTAAGAGGAATTGATATAATATTGAATAATACAAAATAGTGTTGGTTAAGATGTAATGGCATACGTGTGGTTATTTGAATGAATTTTTTTTTTAAAAAGCATTTAAAAAGAATTTCCTCCAGGGTCATTAAGACCATCCAAGCCTCTAGGAGGCCCTCAACGGAACGCATTTACAACTCCACCATTTTGCATCTGGTGTATAGGCAGGGGCATTCCTCCCACAGGAGCGTTTGTGCCTCAAGTCCTAGACTTCCTCCAGGACGGCTTTGTAGAGGTCTCTCTCCAAATGCCATCAGGAGGCAGGTAGCTGCTCTAGCATCCATGCCAAGCTGTGGGGAATGGCATTCATTAACACAACATGCCACAGTGCACTGTTTCTTGAAGGGGGCATCGAACTTGAGACCAATGGTGGTATGCAGGTAACCTACCTGGGACTTGTCTAAAATTTTAAATACACTCACACTCCTTTCAAGCCTCTACATATGGCCACCTTACGATTTCTCATCTAAAAATGGCCTTTCTGGTGGCAATCACCTCCACCAGGAGGATCTCAGAACTGCAAGCCCTCTCTGTAAGGGAAGACCTCTGTATAGAGTAGTGCTACATCTGGACCCCTCTTTCATCCCCAACACACACCAGGTTTCACCGAGCCCAGAAACTTATCCTCCTGAATTTCTGTCTGGTCCCTTCTCATCCCCTGGAGAGGAAATGGCACAGCTTAGACCTGAGAAGGGGTCTAAAGATATATATTAAGGGGACTTTCATTTTTGGACAATTGGAAACTCTATTTCTGTATTTCCAACCAGCTTTCTTGGACAGGAAAGTCACTTCCTCGACTATAGATAGATGGTTGAGGGCATGCATAGCTAAAGCGTATGAATTGTAATCTACAGCAATCACTGGAAGAATCACCACTCATTCTACAAGGAGCACGGCCACTACTGAAGCAGTGTCTTTAGAAGAGGTCTGTCTGGCAGCCACGTGGTCATCTCCTTCCCCATTCATAAAGAATTATAAGCTGGACAGTTTAGCAT